GGTTTTACTATTTCGCTACTCTATTTATTTGAAATCTTGTTGAATTAATTTCTCATGTTTCTATTTGAAATTTTCAATTTTATAAATATTTTCAACAAGACGAATTTCTTGCCGAGAGAGACTCAGACCGGAAAATTGAAGTTGTCGTGTAGGACACCAAAGTACGCCGCCGTTGCTCTTCCGTCATCATCAACAGTTTTACTCTCCTTGGAATTTCAATCTCAAGAAATTTATCTTCTTCGCTTCAAATGGACGTCAGACATTCTATGTCACGTTCAAGCCGTCTCTGAACTCTTCTAAATCTGAGTCATAGAAGGCTTTAAGAGCAAGTGAGAATAAGTTTTCGGGAAGATTATACGTCGTTCATGGGAACAAAATCATTTATGATTTTTTTTCAAATAACAAAAACATTTATTATGAGAAATTAAATATACTTTGACCAAAAAATAAAGAGACGAAAAAAATTTGTTATCGAGTATCGACTTTTTCGAACTATTTTGTTTTTCTTTTGGCGAAATCTGAGGTGTTAAAAAAATAGGAGCTGACATGGCAATCACTTGTGAGAGGGAAGGCAACTATTAATGCCTCGCGGTTGCATCCTCCGTTCCATGAAGATTGATGTTTCTTTAATTTTGCAGAAAATATCATTTAATAATCTAAAACATCCATCTTTATAAAACAAGAAAAAAAACTCAAAACATCAATATTCATGGAATATCCATGGAACGGAGGAATTATTTGAAATGCATTCATATTAAAATACGTAACGACAACTGTAATTTGATTATTGACTGAAAATTCAACATTGCTTATAAAGTTATAATACGATAAAGAAACAATTATTCATGATCATCTCTCTCCTCTGTTTCTTGAATTTTTTTTTTTTTTAATCAGTCAAGTGGAAGCTTGTTCATCTTGAGAAATTTGTACTCTCTATAGACATAAGGCTTGAATTTGGGAGCATTATCATCGTCGCCGGCAACTAGCTCCGGCAAAGGTCCGACAACATGATCAAGATTCGGTTCGGCAAAAACCGGCCACGAGATTCTCGTCCGCTCCGTATCCATGGTCGCTCTATGCTCCCCACTCTTATACCTCCCATTGCTCATCCTCTGCATTATCCACAAACTTAAAAAAAAAAAAAAATTACCACAAAAAAGAATTTACTTTGAGATTTCTACCGTGATTTGATTGGCAATGATGACGACGATTCCCGAGTCATCGTACTCAACGTCGATCCATTTGTTATTCTTGAATGCTTGAAGTCCGTGTACATCATTAGCGATCAAGAATGTGATTCCGTTGAGATCAGTGTGAGGCGGAGCTCCGAAGAGCAAATCGAGTTCTGGACACGGCGGATAGAAGATGACCTTCATCAGATACTCCACCGTTTCTCCGCCGAGACCTTCTTTCAATGCCTCACGATGTAACCCTAGTCCTTCTGATAACCACCCCATGATTTTCTCTGATAGCTTCTTTATCTCTTTTGCGTACTCCTCATTCACCTCTCTGTTCCAAAACTCCGAAATTAATTATGGAAATTAGTACATCAAAAACTTGGGACGTGGGACAATTAGTATACCTGTAATCTGGAGAGTTATTAGGCCAGAATTTGTAGTTGATTCTTGACGGTGGCCAGATCCTATGAAAGAGATGATCAGCCCATGTTTTTCTACCTTGTCCATCTTTTTTGTAATCCGTTACATATCCTTCTAGGTCAATGGAGTCAGCTGGCTTCGCTACGGCTTCCTTCTCCCTCTCGGGAAGCTCGAAAAACTCCGTCCCAACTTCCTTTAACCGTTGTATCAGCTCCATTGGGATCCACCTGAAAAATTCCCCATTCTTCGCTTGCTTTGACCACCGCATGCGCCACAAGATCTTCATCAGGGTTACTTAGATCCACGACGGGGATTTCTGATTTCTCTTTTGCGGATGGGACTGTCTCGGTCAGGAGAGTTGAAGGAGATATGTGTTGGTTTCTCTCATTCTCCATGAATTTTTTTTCGATCGTAAAGTAGCTTAGTAAATATTAAATTCTGACCAACAATTCAAGAATAAAGAAACTATTACTACTAGAGTTGGAGTCGTTGGACTACCTTCGGATTTTGGTATTCCTGCTTGGCTGCTCACTCGACTCTTACAAACAATAGAATTTTAGTATATATATACATGACTCGAAAAAATGGTATTCGGGACAAATTAACGAACATCCTAAAAATAAAATGGATATCCACATTAGGTTCACCGAATTTGTATTGGTATAATAATAATACTAAGAGACACTAGTTCGATTAGAAAAATACCAAAGATGAATCCTAGAGATCACAACATCAAATGGCACTTAAAAATAGACCATATTACATTTTTTGGTCCGAACCTCAACCCAAAACCTTGTACGTAGGCATAAAAACAAAACTATTTAATAATTGGTATTGAATTATCGCATCGTTATTGAATTATTCGGTAGGTAAAACAATAGCTATTGAATTATTATTAAAAAACTTTATAGTAATTGGTATTGAATTATTGCTCGACTTAAAAATATATTTCAAATATAAGCATTGCTGTGCATGTATCTAATATTGATTGGATGATGAATGTATTAAAATTTAAAATTAATTAAGAAAAATAAATTTTAAAATGGAAAGTAATTATCAAGTTACTAATCAAATAATAAAAAGTAAAATTTCTAATAGTATCCATACTAATGAAACAAATTTAAGATGAAATATAGACACATAAGCCATAAAGAAACAAATAATACATACAGAAAAAATATCAATTAAAATAAATAAAAAGACGAATGATAAAAAAAGGTATATAAATTGCAAAAATAAAAGTTAGAAAGGTTATAGAAACCTCAATGTAAAGTTTAAAGATATACACAACCATGCAAAAATAAAATAAAATAAAATAAGAAATCTATAAGAATACTTATTTTATCAATATTGAGCTATAGAATATTACAAAGAAAATTGAATTTTTTTTTATCTATGACGCCATTGGTACTCTCCAATTGTATATATTGGAAATTTATATAAATTAAATTTTTGACATATGACTTTATTGGTATTCTCCAAGTGTATATATTGAAAATTTATATAAGTTAAAAATAATAATATTATATTTACTATTAAGTTAATACTGTATAAAGTTTGACATTAATAAAATACAATTATCAATCATGTACTTATATGATGGTTCACAACATTATTTATAGTTTTTATGAGGTTACTAACATAAAATTTACTCTTTTTTAATTTAACTATATAGTTTTTTTTTTCTATCACATAATTCATAAATATTCATAATGGGTTAAAATATATATTTTTCTCTGTTATTAAGAATATGATTTAAATTCTGATTATATATATTTTTAGATTTGCATAATATGGATTAGAACATGAGAATTATGATATAAATTGACTTATACTGGTTTTAGGATCCACGTTAAATAACATTTTAAAATTCAACGGGGTACTAACTAAAATTTAAATATTTATTTTATTAATTTTTATTATATTTATCTACGTATTAACGCGGATCCTTAGATATTAAAAAAGGGTACATATTGAGAAACAACAAGTGCTATAATAAAACATCATTACCACACCAACCATAAAAAAACACATGTAAAAAAAAAGTTATTAAGAAAAAAAAATATAAGTGGTTGACTTCAACGAGGAAGCGATAGATCATGATCACTTCTGTATTTTGATGTTTAATTATGAGTCCAGCTCAACGATCGGTATCTTGCTGAACTTGCGATTTACGTAGTCCTTGTAGGCGATTGGCTTAAACTTGGGAGGATCGGTAAGCTCCGGGAAAGGTCTAACGACCGTATCGTAGGTAGGCCTCACCAGAACCGGCCACGACATTCTTGTTCTCTCCTTAGAACAAGATCAACGGTGGGTTATAGAGAATTTTTAAGGGTTGTTAGTGGGTTTAAAATAATTTAAAAATAAACTGAGCTGTTTATTTGCTTAGGACCGGTGCTAATTTTACCATTTATAGCACCCCAAAAAATAGAAACGTGTCACGTTGTGGTTGTTAACGAAAAAATAGAAAATACCAAAAAAAAAATTCTGATAAACAAACATTTATTTTCTTTCTTCCTCCGCGTTCTCTCTCGCGATCCCCTCGGAATTCGTCTGCCGTTCTCTCTCTCTTTATCCCCTTGTCTCGCGATCACCGACGATTGATTGAATCAATCGGATTTGTCAATATAGTTACCAATATTCTTCTTCTCCTTCTCCTGTTTTAGTGAGCAACACTACATGTTTTGGTGTGTATTGAATAAATCATAGCATATACTGTGTATTCTGTTATGTTTTTGGTTGGAATTTCAATTGTAAAACAAACAAAGAAATTAGGATATTGTTGATAGATTATGTGTGTTTCATTGATGGTAAAAACTGGTTAGATTTAAATTAGGTACAACCTTTACTATTTATATTATGTGATAAATGCTTGGTCACTGTTGATTTGGTGTAGGTGACTGTTTACTGCAACTAGAGTTAGTGAATGCTTGTTGTATGTAATTCATTGCTAAAAAAACTGAGCTGAACCTGTAATGTCAAACTTTAACATGAATCAGACTTAAATTTGTTGAGTGCTTACTGTGTACGGTCTCTGTGATCAATGCATGGTAGGTTTAGATTAGGTAAATACTTAAAGTCTTTGTCTCCCTTGAACCTCTTGTTATATAAATGAAAGTTTTGTAGTGTTAGCACAGACCATAACCTTTCCTTCTGCTCATTCCCT